GGAAACCCCAACCTAGATTATTAATTATTAATATATCATTTTTATTTGTCTAAAGATAATTACGAAGCATGATTCTTCGCCAAATAGGATTCTGAAGCACCAGAAGCAGCTACGTAGGCTCAACACATTCGGGAATTATATAGAGAGGATTTTATGTTATATATTTTATGGCCGGTTCAAGTTTTTTGCATTATTATTTTAAATTAATCAAACAAAAAAGTACATTACATGATCAATTGCGTCAAGTTTATTGAAAGTTGAAAAACAAATTTCAAAATATTAATATTTAAAATTCATGGTAAAAAAAGTTGCATGAAAAATTTGGCTGACAAACCTTCATTATCTAAGTTAATCTTTTTTATTCCAAAAACAATTATTTGGGAAAGTTTAAAAATTACGCACAGTAAAACAATTGCATACGATAGTTTACATTTGTCTTCTTATCCTGTAGACGACCATTCATTATCTTATTTTTATTGGCTAATTAAATCAATTATGATTCAATTCATATATTTTATCAAAGTTTTTAAATATTATTCATATTACCTTCCCTTTTGCCAGTGACATAATTTTCATTTGAATTTTTTGTCACTTAATCTAATTATTTATAGTTATTTTCAAGAGTTATAAATTTATATTAAAATTCAATTTTGGTCGGTTTTTTTCTTTCTGTTCAAATATTATTTTATATGATTCATGAGCCATTACAAAAATATGGTGCACATTCTTATTTAGATTTCAATAATCTTAAAACAACAATTTAAAAAGATTGAAAATATTTTTTTTGGTAAATTATATTTTGATTTTCAATTAAGAAATAAATTGATTAAATTAAAAGTGCCATATCATATACAATGAAGTGAATGAACGATAGTTTTGATCTTCAAGTCACATTTAATGCTCACAAAATTGTAATTGAATAACTTGTGTAGAATATCGACCAATTAATGTGTGGTGGACTCTTATGTATAATCTGAAGTTCATAACTATAAACCTTAAAATTTCCTCCAATACTTGATGTAGATGGACCATAATACTATATGATCAAATTATATATATATATATATACACACACACATATATACACATATAAGCGTGAACAAAATTTTAACTATGTCATATAATGCGATGTTATTTTCTATGATTTTATCAAGCCTATAAAAAAAATCCTACTAGTCAGTCCAGACCATCGCTCAAAATACATAACCAAAAACTAAAATAGTTGTTATAGTCTCATTCATAAAACAATATAATGTGATTTTAGGATAGATTTCTGGTTTTGATTACTTTTTTATTTTTTACTAATTTCAAATTATATACATATAAATACTCTTAAAGTATGGATATATAGTTACTTTTACTTATTTTTAATATATTTTCTCTAAGAATATTAATTCATACGCATTGTAACCTCTTAATGTTTATTGAAAGTCCATATTTTCAAAGAGATCAACATATGATTATCTAAATTATTTGGAACTCACATTGTTTAAACTTGCACAGTAGTCAGAAGATGTCAGAAAAAATTCTGAGTGAATCCTTACACTTTCAAGTATATTAGTTGCATTATGCATACACTATTTAGACTTAATCTATACAATATAATTAAATAAGTTAAATCATGTCATATGTGTTTGAAAAAATTGTAGTTATATATATAAATGAAAGTCTATTGTTTCTTCAAAGAGCACAATATATGATTATCTAATTTATATGGTACTAAAATAACTTACATCTTGCACAATTGTCAAAAGATGTCACAAAAAAATTATGAGTGAAATCTTTACTCTTTCCTGTACAATGTTAATTGCTTACCCTATATATGTAATCATTATAATATATTCATTAAATTTAAATCATGTCATAGGGGTTTGAATGAATATAGTAACACACACATGTGTGTGTAAATATTCCAATTAAATATATATACAACATTAAAAGGGTTAAGTATCATGTATTTTAAAATCAAAATTTTGTCAACATTAAAAGGGTTAAGTATCATGTTTTTTTAAAAAAATTATGAACTAATTATAAAAAAATAAAATTTAAGACTGTAAAACAATTATATACAAATTAACCAAATATAAATAATATATTTATAAAATAAATCAATATATTATTAATGTTGTCGTTATTGTTGTTAAACAAATTGTATCTTTCTTTATGTTACATTCTCGTATATCATTCATGTAATTATATATCTGTTTCATAAAGATTAAAAATAAAGTTTAAGCTATTGAAAATAGTTTATATAGAAAAAGTTATTTCATAAAATAATTTTTATAGCTCTTTTCAAAGTTGATGTATTGTATAATATATTACTTTTTGTTAACTGGATTTTATTTGTTATTATTCATACTTAAAATTTTACTGTAAATTATATTAATCTCTTATAATAATCG